CTGGTGCAAATTACTGACCTCTGTCATCATTTTAAGTGGGGGAACTTGCACAATCGGTGGCTGACTAAATACTTTTTTGCCCCACTGTACACCTTGGTAAAAAAGAAAAATTCACTCTCTGACAACTTTGGCCTTAGAAGTTGTTTTCATCAAAATTTAACAAGCAAGAGCACATGACCATGGCATTATTCATTTAACAAAAACTCAACCAAAATGCAGAAGCAGTGTCTGAAAAGCTAAGTAGAGCCATCTTTAGCAGTAACTGCTTTTTATGCGACTTTATCGGTCCCTCACTTCATTGTGGAGTCCAGCCAAAGCATTTTAGTTAGGTTCGGTTGTGGACTTTGAAAGCGTCATTAAAGCTCTTTGGGGCCTTTTTCTTGTTGCATAAGCCAGTTTTAACAAAGGTTTAGCTTTCAGACACACATTTTACTCTAAAAAACTTATATACTTGTATACAGAGGAGTTAATGATTGACTCTGTGACGACAAGCCCAAATCCTCACCCCTCCATTACCGTGCTTGGCAGTTGGTATGAAGTGTTTGTGCTGATGAGTTGTGTTTGGTTTTTGCCAAACAGCACTGGACATTCTCGTCAAACATCACTTTAGTCTCTCCAAAGGACATTGTTCCATTGTGTGGTTTGCTCTGATTCAAGAGGCTTTCTCCTGGGAGCCTCTTCAAACAAGCCACATTTATTCAGCCTTTTTTCTGATTGTGCTGTCATGAACTTTAACATGCTAACTGAGGTCTGTAGCATGTTAAATGCTAACATAATTTAATATTTGTTGAGTCTTTGACACTGAATTACCTACACTGCTACAGCCTGACTGTGTCCTGGTTCTTAACAGATAAAGCCCATCTTTTGAATTTAATATTAATCTGCTGCTTGCTTTGTGTGATTAGAAACTTAAGAAAATGCCAGATGACCAGCAAGTTTTCAAGTCTCTTCCTCAGCAGTCTTCAAGGTAGGTCCAGCAGTGATTCAGAACTTGCCTCAAATTAATTTGTTAGGACCTAATTAAATGTCTGTTAACTTTGCATCCACAGTGTGATTTCACCCGAGCAGTCTGAAGCTCAGGCCTTGTTGGATGGTACACTTAGAGGTCACTCCAAGCAGACAGATGGAACTTGTTACAGTCATGCGTCTGAGATTTTGTGTCAATCAGCAGATATGAGCTACCTGAACCTGACCTCCACGCAGAAAAACCACTTGAACCGCTCAGGTCCCCTGGCTGCCCTCAGCAACCTTGAAAATCTGCCTTCCTGAAGTTTTCTGTTTTATTTGTAAGTTAAATTAATAAATAAGATACAAACTGGGTTTGAATTTCATTAAAACCATCAAATTAAACCAGCCTGAATTTGTATCAGTTTCTAAATTTTGTGGACTTTCGCATCAAAATTGACATTTGTTCTCCATCTTAAACTTCAAGGTTTTGCATTGGAAATAAGTTATCTGAATTTCTGGAGCAGGCCCACATCTCATAACACTCCCCTTTCAATTCTTTGTGTATATTTGACCCCTTGCGCTACAAGCAGTTTGTTCTTCTTTTAGTTCCCCACCTACCTTCCCTCATCTCTTTGTCTCTCATCTCTTATTAGTGCATCTGCCTGACCCAGGAGACGCCACCAGTCCCTTCTGAGCCCCTCCCCCAAAACTACAGTCTGGTTTCATGCTCATGCCATCTGCCATTATCTCCTATAAGTGCTGTCAGTCCTAAATGATGATAAGGTTCCTGCTATTAAACAGAAAAAAAAATTCCAGTTCACTAGAATTAAAATGAATGTATCTAACATAATTACTGCACAGTTTAAAGAGTTTAGGGACTGGTGATCAGATAAACAGCATCAGACAAAACAGGAGCATATCAAATGCTCTAAATTTCTGTGAGGGGGTGGGGTGGGGGTTCGATGGGAGTTTCTTAAGTGCACTTTGGAAAATCACTTTGCTACACAAAACCAGTTCCACTTTTGCACTGAGCAAGAATAACGGCCCAATTGAGGTCAGATTACAACAGGATACCAGTTTAACCTAAAGCCAAGTAACAGAAATTTCCGTGAACCACATTACGTGGTATTTCTTGTTTTCAACAAAAACCTTTTCCTCACATGCTACTTCACTTGAAAAACATCTTAGACCCAACATTGCAGTTTTTGTACATAATATATTTCTCCTCAAAAAAGTCCTACAAACATTTTATTTTGACATCTTTTAATCAAAAGAAAAGCAAACACGGCCATTATTATTGCAGAAAGGCACTTGATGCGCACACGGACGTGTCTCAAACTGTCAAAACAGCTCTTTAAAATCCTTACATCTACCACGAAGGTTTTCATCGGAGAATTCAGTAATGCTCTACAGATGTAATTTTATTCATATCAGTACAAAATAATTTGCAGCTGTACTCACCAACATTTGTTATACCCCAACAATATAAATATAGAAAACAGTTCAGTCATTTTTCAACATAACACCAAGTAATAGCACACTTGTAAAAACAGCACGAGCTGACAATAAACCCTAAATCTTTGGTTTAAAGTTCCTGTGTTATAAATGATGTTTAAAAATTATGACTCTAATATTCAGAACACAGGCTCATACCCAGGTTTTCATCAAGGAAGAATAATGAGCTGCAGTTGATCTTAATTCCTGGAATGCAAAATAACTTTATATGAAATTCAAATACAGGTTTTAATTTTTAACAGACCAGCCGCCTGTGCTTAATACTTGGAAACCAGAAATGTATTTTACCACGTTTTACCATGTGACTATGACATCAGTACAAAAAAAAAAAAAAAAAAGTGAAGCTGAAGAAATGGGACTAACTTGTTTGACCTTTTATCAGCACTTTTTTTTTTTTAAACAAAGACAATGTTGCAATCACTGATGAGAAAGCAAATCTGGCATTTGCATAGACATTTATCTGACGTCTTGTAAGCAAACTTGTGCATTTTGGAGTTGAGTGTAAATGAACTCAACGAGGAAGCATGAGTAACTAGGAAAATTTTCCTTTGCCGTATTGTTTTCATACCATTATTTGAAATGGTTGCCAACTTTTGCATATTTTGTGAGTACGGAGAAAAATGTGTTTTCATTTGCATGGTTTTGTGTGTAATTCCAAGAAATACTAAGGTGTGCGCAGTTTATCATATTGTTTTAGTGCCCATAGCAGTCGAGTGACTTGAATGTCACTCCTGTAGCCGATTTGGGTATCCCAGCAGTACTCTGGAGAAAGCACCCTGCTAGGTTTGTGCAGCCACAGGTATTTGTTTAGGTGACTTTCATCGTGCCACAAAGCCTCCACGTTATTTTGTTTATCCTCCATGATGTTTTGGTAGCAGGCCTCAGCCAGAGATTTTACGCTTTTCCATGAGCCTCCAAAGACAGCAGCATGATAGTAGAAATCCCCGGTTTCCATGTAAGCCTTGGATTTTGGGTTTCGGTCATAAGTATAGAAACTCTTTGGAAGGTGGTAGTAGTAGGCGTGGAGTAGAGCCACAGAGTCTCCCAGAGCCTCTGAGCCAAATCTGCCAGTGAACACCTGATCTACATCAAAGCAGAAGACATGCGTGGAGTGGTGGCGAATATCAGACTCTATGACATCTGATATCGTCTTCATTCGCATCATCGAAATGTCCTGCCATCTTGAGTGCCGTTGCACTTTGATCATTTTCAAGGTTCGCTGAGGACCGAGATGGATGTGCGGGACCTTCTCTGGCATGTCGGTAAATACGTAGTAGGACACAGGCAAACCCACCATAAAGTGATGTTCTGAGGAGTTCAGAAAGGTCTCGAGGTATTCGTCCAAGTACCTTTGGTGATAGTGGAGAAAAAGAGTTCATGCTTTATTTCACAGTCTCAAACAGTTAGAAGAATAGAGCACAAATATACAGACTAAATGGCAATTAGAAGACCAAGATGTATTTTAAACAGTCGTACTAATGTGAAAACAAACCTTCCCACAGCAAACACTGTTAGAGCAACAGAGGATCCTTCCTTCTTGTGGTTCTGGTCGTAAATTTTAGGGTTAAACATCCCCTCCCAGATAATAGGAGCTTTCCAAGTTGTGCATGTTTGAACGTCAGTTCGAGAGCTGAAGTGGAAAGAAATCAGTTAAACACATATTACACTTAAGTTAGAACTTTCTGTGGCTGTGGTTTTATCAGTTTATTTTTTTTAAAAAAAAAAAAATAGTGGTATGTGTGGTAAGGCCTACTAATGCCTTGTTTGTGATAATGATCAACTACAACTGTTAGTTTCTCTTTGCCAGTGTAGAAATGACTGAACAGTCCTCAGAACGATGCTAAAAGAAGTCAGTGAAGATCAGCTAAGGAGAACTGTAAATTTTCAAAACTGAAAATTCAGACAATAATACATAAGTATTATTTAGATGTTGTGGCAGTAAGGACGGACCCGAACACATATTTCACTCTTCACACTTTTCTTTATTTCGGTTGTCGTCTCTTCCGACTCTCAGCTGCAGCTTTTCAGCTGCCAGCCACATAACACGTCCAACAACAACATCTCATTTACAGGGGGCCAGTCATACAATAGTTCTGCTTGTTTTACAGTTTAAATTAAAGGATGAGGGAAGGAAGACAGAACAAACGTGTGCTGTGGAATTCAAGCACACATTTAAACCTTTTTTTCGAGGTATGATGCAGACAGTTCAATCATGGATGTCACAAACTTTCTTCGCCCTCTTTCCTTTACGCATCTCCTCTCTAACTTTGTCACCAAACCATTCAATCTGACCTGGCTCTCCAATGTAGCCATTCTTCTCCATCCTGCTCACTCCCAATAAAAATCACAACATCTTCAGCTCACACTTTTGCCACTGTCTCCGAACCACTTATCACAGCAGGTCTCACTACTGTCTTTCAACCTTTCTTTTCAGTTTTGTTTCTATCCAACTGTCACAAATCACCCCTGACACTCGTCTCCTCATCATTTACCTTCATTGCATCCATCCTTGAATCTTCCTCATACACTGATGGATGTTTCAGTAGCAATTTGGTCTCACACACGGACACTTGCACACTTCATCAATCAAAATGCTGACCGCTGGATGAGCAGTTTATTCCCCGAGACACTGCTGCGCTCCACAGTTTATCAAAAGATTTAATTTAAAAAAAAAAAAAAAAGCGTGTGTAGGCACAAAAAGTTCAGTGTGTCTATTTCATATGGATGATATTAACACTGAGTCTGAATTAGCACTACTGTCTGTGGAAAAGGTGAGGCCTGTATGATGAGAACAGCCTAATCCAACAGTATATGTAGATTGCACCAGATCTGCCGTGGGGGTGTTGTTACAGGTAAGCAGACATCTTAAAAGGATTAAAGTTTAACCTGTTAAAACAAAGTATATACCCAAGGCGGAGTTTTGTCTGTTACTGTACTTTGGTGTTAACATGTAACTTTTCAACATATGAGAACAAGGTTACGGTGTTTGATGGGTTAATATTTTATTATTGTCATTTGTATTGGGAAATATTTAACCATATATCCTTAGAGGTGTGTAATCAAGTGTGTAGTGATAGGATATGTGATCCTTAGTGGTCTGCACACCTTTGTGTGGTGTGGATGTGGGTGTGAATGCCAGAGCACTCTGGCATTCACACCCAGCAGGGAAGTCAGGTTTAGGACTTCAGGTTTAGGACTTCCCTAAACCAGCAGGTTTAGGGAAGTCTTTATGGACACACACACACACACACAGAAACAAGGTATTCTTTGTCCACATGTACACTTATATGAAACATCATATGTTAATGAACCTATGCACATTCATGTAACCACAATAAAAGGAGTGCTATGGGGAACCTGGCTGAGAGTCTGACGGAGGTCAAGTGGGTGGAACGACACTTGGCTCCAGGCAGGTCTCCCTCATGCATGAGTAACACAAAGAACTTTGCCTACTTGTGTCTTGCTTTTTGCTGTGTAGTAAATTGTCTTGAACGTTCCAGCGAATAGGTTTATGCTACAAACCTATCAGTGTTTGAGACCAGAAACACTGAGACTTAAGTAAAACAGTAACGGTAGCACCTTGGTTGCCAAAATGAAAAGTCTTGATGGTCTTACCAAAAGTCGAGGCTGACATCAACGCTGTTGTCCAGGGTTGACAGCTTTCCATTTTCCAGTGAGCATTTTTCCATGGGTATGAAACCTATCAAAATACTGATATCAAAAGCATTTGATAGTTTGTTTTCTTAAATGTCATCATCACAATGACAATATGTAATACTCTGTGGTGAGTTAAAGACTGTCTATAGTACGCACCTTGTTTAAACTAATGTAATCTAGTCTATATTTAGAAAGAAACATGATTAAGGTTGTTTTATTTAAAGGAACATTTTGGATTATGTTTAGTGGTAATATGTATAATGATATCTCTGTCATTTACCTTACAACAGTGATTCAAACAGAGTGGACACAAGAAAAGCCAGCCACATATTTCAAAAACAACAAAATCTACATCTCCAAAACGATCCCTGTTGGATCCATGCAGTTGTGTTGCAGGAATGCCATTTCAGGAATGTCGAATTAAACTGGCAGCTGAGGTTTTTTTGTGTGTTTTTTGTTTAAAGATACTCACTGCACGGATGGACGTGTGAAGTAGAGAGCACAGAGTGCAGCCGGAACCCAGAGCAAACATTTCAGCGTGCACTTTATCTTCTGGAAGCATCTGCAGGTGAAAGGTTCAAAATTAACCTTAAATACTGAGACTGAATTTCAATTTTAATTTCAGTAACTGGGCAGAAGTGTTACTGAACAGGCAAAGATGACACAAACAGTAACCAGGGTGTTTTTAATACCTCATAGTTCACAGTGCTTCAACTTCACCAGACAACACTGAGAAATAACCTGAGAAAAGACAAAAAGGTGTGGGTTTGGCTGAATTGGCAACTCTGACATTATTCTTAAGCTTTGCTATAACTATTACCTGTAGAACAGCATCAGCATGAGAAACCAATCTTTTTTTAAAAAAACAAAAAACTTTTTTTTACATATTTGGAACTCTGGAATGTTTAAGATCAAAGGTACCAGCATCACACCTGGATCCTGCATACTTTTGCCTAGGGATCTGCAGGACTTTGCACCCATGCAATTAATCATTCATATGACCATGCATCAGGGTTTTGTTTATCAAAACGCCTCAGTCACACAGGCCTAGAGACCATTGGCCACCACCTGGCAACTTCTGTTGCTAAGTAAATGGTAAATGGACTGGTTCTTATATAGCGCTTTTCTACTCTTCTGAGCACTCAAAGCGCTTTACACAACTTGTGCATTCACCCATTCACACCCATTCGCACAAGCACATTTCTGTAGGTGCTTTCTAGATAACATTCACACACATTCATACTCCGATGGATGCATCGGAGAGCAATTTGGGGTTAGTATCTTGCCCAAGGATATTTGGCATGCAGACTAGGGGAAGCCAGGAATCGAACCACCAACCTTCCGATCAGTAGATGACCTGCTCTACCACCTGAGCTACAGCCACCCACCTTTAAGTATAAAGGTTCACCAGCTGCTTACCGAATGATAATGAAAACTGAAAGGGCTCCTTTCTAAAATGTGTTGGTTGCTGCGGTAAGACACTACAGTCTGTTACCTTTTTTTTTGTGCTGCACTTTTCACAGTTTCACTTGCGTCATTCTAAGTTACCACCTTGCATGAAAACTACAGGCAATGCTGGCAACCTGCATGAATTCAAAGTTTTTGAGTTTTTGTGCTGCAACATCTTTGGTAAATTTTGGACCAACGTGGTAGACCCTGTTCTCCACCATAATCAAAACACCAAATGCAAAGGAGTGTCATTTTATCCTTCTAGTGGAACATAACTAAGGAAAAAACTATTGAAGCTAGGACTCCTCAGACCATTTACCAGAATCATCAAAGACTACACTGTGGCTGCCCTCATTGTCCCGGCACAGACTAACAATGTTTTTATTCAATTCAATTCAATTCAATTTTATTTATATAGCGCCAAATCACAACAAAAGTCGCCTCAAGGCGCTTCATAGATACAGAGAAAAACCCAACAA